CCCTTTGTCATGCTTGCCCGTCTCTCGAGCTTCCACATCGTGCCATATATGTTACTGTTCGAGGTATCTCTAAATTTTACTTTGGCTACTTATTTATTTGTGCAGCAGTTTTGCTATGTTTTTCAATATGCTTTATCTTAAAAAGTTTGTCATTATTTGACTTGTGAAGACCTGGAAATTGGATTGACTGGCTGCATGTTGTGGATCTTTGTTGTTGAGAGTGGTGTTACAATATTAGTGTGATTATGTTTCTCTTTGGGTAAATCAACTTTCTGACTTCATTTGAATTTTATCAGGTGGTGTTAGTGAAACTCCTTGTCCATACAAGTGCATTTCTGACAGATATCACATGCCAAAATGTTATACAGCACTTGAAGAATTGGTTTACACTTTTGGTGGACCATGGTTGTTCAGTCTTGTTCTGTTAGGTCTCCTCATCCTTTTAGCTCTTGTGCTTAGTGTTGCACGAACAAAATATGTTACTGCAGATGAAGTACCAGCTCCTTTACCTGCTCGACAGGGGTCACGTTTAGATCATTCCTTCCCTTTCCTGGAATCATTAAATGAGGTTTGCCTCTAATTTCTGACTTTAGCTACTTACTGCTGTTTTTATTACTGGCATAATTGTCATTTAAAAACCAAATTGGAGTGCCCTGTAATCTTCCATCGTGTTAGATGTGACAATCCTGTTGTCATTTAGGTTTTGGAAACAAATAGAAACGAGGAATCTCAGAGTCATGTACATAGGATGTATTTCATGGGGCCAAATACATTCGGTGAACCTTGGCATCTACCTCATTCCCCTCCAGAACAAGTAACAGAGATTGTGTAAGCTCTCTTTCTCCATTTGGTGTATTATGATTTTGGTGGTTGGATGCTCACTGCAAATTAATGGTGACACGACATGCTTTTGTTTAGTTATGTATATATTTCTATATTGATGCTTGATGCCTTGGGTTTGATAAGTTTGTTCATAGTTTCTTATTAACTCAAGTTGGGTAAACTTCTGCAAGTGTTTTATGTATTTCATTACATGGCAGATATGAGGATGCATTCAATAGATTTGTGGATGAGATTAATGGTTTAGCTGCTTATCAGTGGTGGGAAGGATCAATCTACAGCATTCTTTCTGTCTTTGCCTATCCACTTGCATGGTCATGGTTACAGAGTCGACGGAAAAAGAAGTTACAACAACTTCGTGAATATGTTCGGTCAGAATATGATCATTCTTGCTTGCGTTCTTGTCGTTCACGTGCACTGTATGAAGGGCTTAAGGTATTTCTAAAGGCATCCTAACTGTCTAGTGTTTCCTTATGCTTCTCTACATAATTTTCTTTGGACTATGAGGTTTTAGGATCTTAAGCACCTGGAACAGAAATACTATCAGCTTCCATTGTTAGCTAGATATCTATATATGAATTTTACTGAATACATATGAATGATCTACTGTTAATCTCGTGTCATTGTAGTGCAGTTGTGCCGATTTTCATTTGTTAACGTCTTTTGAAGAGTCGTTTTGAAATTATGGCTGAATAAACAGTTTTACCATCACGTTTAATGTTTTTTTACTTCAGGTAGCTGCAACTTCTGATCTAATGCTTGCATATGTGGACTTTTTCCTGGGTGGAGATGAGAAAAGAGCTGGTCTTCCTCCCCGTCTTCATCAGAGATTTCCGATGTCTATAATTTTTGGAGGAAATGGAAGTTACATGGCTCCTTTCTCTCTTCACAGTGATAACATTCTTACTAGCCTCATGAGTCAGGTTTACTACCAATATTTGTTTAGGGATGTGTATCATGTGAAGTTCAGTTATATCCTACTGCTGATTATATATATAAAAATTAAGTTCTGATCGTTATATTTGATTTTTTTTTTTTCAGTGTATTCCACCTACAATCTGGTATCGGCTTGTAGCTGGTCTAAACGCTCAACTGCGTTTGGTTCGGCGTGGACACTTAAAATTAACTTTTGGTCATGTTATCAGCTGGCTTGAAACACATGCAAACCCTGCTCTTAGTGCATATGGAATACATGTAGATCTTGCCTGGTTTCAGCCTACCGCATCTGGATATTGCCAGTTTGGACTTTTGGTATATGCTATTGACAATGAAAGTATGCCACCAGCGCTGGATGGTCAAGATGCATCATTGCCGCCAGAGCATCAGTCACGGTAACATTCTCCTCCTGATTATTTTTCTAGCAAGTTGTATACCTTAAGGCTTATGTTTCTTTGACCTGATTTGCAGTACGCCAAGAAATCATAGGGAAAACCCTTTTGAACAATTGAGACTCATTGACCATTGGATGTCTCAAAAAAGGTTCTCTGGAGGGATTTTACACACCAAGAGCTTAAGGATGTTTAAAGAGAGGAAAGCTATATGTTATCCCTTTTCCTTCATAGTTTGTAATGGCAAACCTGTTGGCCATCAGGTAGTGACCATGCCTACAATATACTGACTTGGTCTTTTATCGTTCCTCAGTCTGTAATCTGGTTGTTCTTAGATGCTATTCTAACTCTCCCTCGTTCGTATCTTTCTTTATCACAGGATCTTGTTGGTTTGGTCATCTCTATTCTTTTGTTGGGAGATTTTAGCATAGTCTTGCTCACTTTGCTGCAGCTGTATTCTATTTCACTGTTGGACTTCTTCTTAGTCTTATTTATTCTTCCTCTTGGACTACTATTCCCCTTCCCAGCTGGAATCAGTGCTTTGTTTAGTCATGGGCCGAGACGGTCAGCAGGTCTTGCACGTATATATGCTTTGTGGAATATCACATCCTTGATCAATGTTGTAAGTTGTTCTGAACCCAGTGGCTTAAAAATTCAAGAGGGTCACATGAAAGGCTATTACTACAATACAAGCAGGCTATTGCCTTGTTTCAATATTTGATGGTGCGGTTCCTGACATTTTGTCGTGTTTCAGGTTGTTGCTTTTACGTGCGGATTGATTCAGTATACGACCCACTCGCAGAAAAAGCATTCCAACTTTCAGTCCTGGAATTTTAGCATGTTAGTATTTAGATTAATGGCAGCAACTCTTTTATGTAGTAGCCTCAACTGTTGTAAATAGTGATTGCAGCAACTTCAATTCTCGCTAATGAAAATCCTTGTTTGCAAAATGCAGGGATGAAAGTGGATGGTGGGTGCTTCCTTCTGGTTTGGCACTCTGTAAAATTATCCAATCACGGCTCATTGATTGCCATGTGGCTAACCAGGAAATTCAGGATCACTCATTGTACAGCAATGACCCTGATGTGTTCTGGCAGACATGAAGAGCCTAGTTTTTGTTTTTGTTTAATTCTTTTAGTAAATATACACCCTCTATAGTTATATGTTTCTTTCTTGATCCAGGTCATCTTTTAGATTGTGGCCTTTTTTTATTACATATATATATATATATATATATATATATATGTAATAAAAAAAGGCCACAATCTAAAAGATGACCTGGATCAAGAAAGAAACATATAACTATAGAGGGTGTATATTTACTAAAAGAATTAAACAAAAACAAAAACTAGGCTCTTCATGTCTGCCAGAACACATCAGGGTCATTGCTGTACAATGAGTGATCCTGAATTTCCTGGTTAGCCACATGGCAATCAATGAGCCGTGATTGGATAATTTTACAGAGTGCCAAACCAGAAGGAAGCACCCACCATCCACTTTCATCCCTGCATTTTGCAAACAAGGATTTTCATTAGCGAGAATTGAAGTTGCTGCAATCACTATTTACAACAGTTGAGGCTACTACATAAAAGAGTTGCTGCCATTAATCTAAAAGAAAAAACAAAAAAGCCCTTACATATGGCAGTGTTTAACCCGGGCATAGTTTCTTTTTTCTCCTTCCAATACATATGCATGGTAGTACTAATACGTGTGCCTGCTTGGTGGTTATCTTTGATAATGCAGTTGGTGCCTAACATTATGAAAGAAACCGAACCAAAATTATAGCTCAATATCAATGAACTCTCCAAAGTCAAAATCCATGACATGTTTGATTACGAAACAATGGCTTGAACGAACATTTGGTCAAATTTGGAGAAGGAACAGAGACATTAGAATTCAGAACCTGGACGCTTTTTTGGCAGATTGAATTTGCAGTTGAAAAGAACAGTCATCATTAGAATTCAGAAGTTGGACGCTTTTTGCTGATTGAATTTGAAATTGAAGAATTATGCACTTAAAAAAAGACCAAGCAACATGTCGGCTACAACGAAGGAAGGGGCTCGACTTGCGACTTGAGAGACTACTCATGTGATATAGCGAAAGTGATTCACGTCCATGGAGCCCCTCGATGTCTGTCTAGAAAAAGTCTTGGTTTTACTTGTCGTCTACAGCAAGTAAATCAAAATCAAAATCAAAATCAAAATCAAAATTGAATCTTTATTTCCAAATCTCACGCAAGTCCAAGCCAATAACAAATCCCATGAATTGAAAAGAAAACAAGTATGAATTTATGCTAATTAATCACGTGGTGGTGGCAAATTGTGAATTAACTATTTTAAAAATGATTCCTATATTATTCAGAGTTTTTATATATATATATATATAAAGCCAAAATTTACCCCCCACTTTCAAAAATGTATGTTTTTATAAATTCTTTCGAATATAGCCAAAAACTCACCTAAATAGACACAAATGCCATTTAAAATTAAAACCCACATAAAATTAAAAAGTTCCAATATATTTTGAGTTCTAGTTATTGATATATACTTGGTATGTTACTAAAGATCGAGACTTTGAAGAAAATTGATCCATGAACTCGTAGGTGCCGAACAAAACCATTGTCTCACAGGTGCCCATCCTCTCTCATTGAGTCTAGTCCCACGTTGGCCCAATCAATCTGATCCCCAATAGTTCCCCTTAATTTTGTCAAAAACCAATTCCATGATGCATCATTCTCTGAATCTCTAACTCTGAGTGCAACATGGTATGTTTGGTTATTTCCGTCCTTCCATGTGGAAACAAACTATGTCCCACGATATTTACCACTTAAAAATGTTCCATCAAGTGCAATTATTGGCCTGATAACAGTGCGAAATCCTCTGATGAAAGGTCCAAGTGACATGAAAAAAATACGTAAAATGATTATTACTGTCAGTTTCAATATGAGTTATCGTACCAGGATGTTTGGCTTCTAACATAGCACAATATGATGGAAGTATCGCATAAGATTCCTCTGGCGATCCCCTAACCAACTCAAGTGCATGTTCCCTAGCTCCCCAAGCCTTCACATAACTTATAATATACTCACACCCATGTCCTTTCGTATATCCTCCATGATGTCGTGGGGTCTATGTACTCATGATACACCTTCGTACTTATATTTTATGCATTGACCAATAAGAAAACTACTTTCCTGTCGATGATGGCGATGAATAGCATCCAATGAGCATAAGTGTTTTGTAAAATATTTTTTTACCATGAAATATGAGGATTTTTGTAATTTGGATGCACGCAATTTCCACATGCATCAGTCATCGACACAACCAACTACAACTTCAAGCATTAGGAATTTATGCTATGATAAGGTTGAATAAAGTGGAATAAAATAAAGCAAGTTTAACAAAAGAGTTAGGAATTTATCCCCATAAACTTCTTTATCAACAAATTCTTTATTTATTCAGTAAGATAGATATAGTTTTTTACTTGGCTGCTAAACATAATTTGGCCAACAGAAAACCCTAGAATTAAAACAAAGATGGAAGGAGAGAGAGAGAAAAAAAAAAAGAAGAAGACAAACTTGGTATTACAGATCGGTAAGTTGAATTAGGGAGTGTTGGAATTGCTTCAAATTCCCATAAAGAAAGCAAGATATTCCTCCCACGCCCTATGCAGGAAACCCAGAACTCATGCTACACCATCAAAACACACCAAAACTGATGAATTTCAATTTCTTGTTCCTACTAAGCCAAAGAAATGAAGAAACAATTAAAAGAAAAAAGCAACCGCACGAATAAGCACAAAATATGCAGAAAGACAAAGAACATCACTCACCAGTAGTTCGACCAAGGCTATAGACGTGCGTGCTCAGCAGTAGTTCGACCAAGGCTATAGATGTGCGTGTGATTCCAGACTTCGTGTAGTAGAGTTTTGCTTTTCAGGTTTACTTGGGTTTTAATTTTAAAGGGCATTTGTGTCTATTTAGGTGATTTTTTTGGCTATATTTGAAAGATTTTATAAAAATGGACATTTTTGAAAATGAGGGGTAAATTTTGGCTATTTTTGATAAACTCTATATTATTCAAGTGGTTGGGGGTTTTTTGAGAAATTTTGGATTGCATTCATAATTCAATTAAAAAAATCACTAGCCACAAATGACCAATACAAACTAACTATAAATGGCTATTACAATAACGGAACGATCTAATATAAGAATTAAGACAATCTGAGGCTCCTCCACTAGCGATTACACATGATCGAAGAAACTCTGGCATAGGCATCCCAATTAAGAGTGCAAACTCAGAACAACCAAAAATAGATTTTTTTTTTGTCGAACAACCAAAAATAAATAAATCTTGAAAAAACCAAGCCATAACAATACAAATAAAGCTCTAACAAATGAGAGATGAAAAACTCTAGCCCAAATTTTCTCGCCAACAAGTTCTAGCGCCATTGAAAAGGTCATTAACTTAATACAAATTTAGTTATATACCCAATCTTAGACATAATTTTATAAAGAAACCCTATACCATTTAAAAACTATAAACACACAAAAAAAAAAAAAAAAACCCAAAAATCGACAGCTGTAAATTTTTTTTAATTTCATAGTTATTTTTTTGTTTATTTGTGTGTGTAAAATACATATATTGCCCTTGTACTATGGATTTGAGAGAGAAAAATCAAATCTGCCCAGATCTGCCAAAAAACAAGATTTGTCAAGATATGCCAAAAAATCAGATCAGCAAAAAAAATCAAAACCAGATTTATTTTCTCCTTTCTCGCTGGTGCTTTCTCGATGTTGGAGCAAAAGGAGCTTCCATTGAAGCTCAATCTCAAGTCCAACTTTATTCTTCATCTCTCATCTACAATTTTCAATATTCACATTCGATCTCTTATTTTAAAATTGTGCTTCTATTGATATTTTTTTTTCCAGATTGTTTGGAACCTTGAACGAACCTCGATCAAATGCACTTAGCTCTATTCCTCATCTTCGAGCTCTACTCCTCTTTCACCACATCGTTGTAGTCATCATCGTCATCTTTATTGTCGTCGTCGTCGTCGTCGTTTGGTTTGGACTTGAGATTTTTGATCTTTTGCTTCAATTATGTGTTTCTCTTCATATTTTAGTTGATTTTTGAAAAGTATTTTAAGCTTTGATGATGGATTTATCATTTGTTACTATTTCAGTTGTGGATATCATTTTTGTTTAACAATGTACTTCTATGACAGAGTATTAACAATGTACTTTTATGACATAATAATATTAACAATCTGAGCTTATCTTGTTTTGAGTTGGTTTGGTTTGTTCTTTCTTCTTTTCTTTGGTGGACATGTATTAGAAATAACAACAAGACAAACATTAATTAACATGACAGTAAACTAGCAGTGTTATTACCTTAGACTGGAACATTACAGGGATAGATATGCATTAGAAATAGGATGTCATAGGAAATTAGCAGTGTTATTACCCTAGACTGGAACATTACAGGGGTAGATATGCATTAGAAATAGGATGCCATAAGAAACTAGTAGTGTTATTACCCTAGAAATATGATGTCATAGGAAACTAGTAGTGTTATTACCCTAGACTAGAACATTACACAGGGTAAACATGCATTAGAAATAGGATGTCATATGAAACTAGTAGTGTTATTACTCTAGACTGGAACATTACATCCATTAATCAACATGACAGTAAACTAGCAGTGTTATTACCATAGATTGAAACATTATAGCGATTAATCAACATGACAGTAAACTAGCAATGTTATTATCTTAGACTAGAACATTACAAAATAGCAGTGTTATTACCCTATACTGGAACAATACAAAATAACAGTGTTGTTACTCTATACTGGAACATTACATGGGTAGACATGCATTAGAAATAGTATGTCATAGGAAACTAGCAGCATTATTACCTTAAACTAGAACATTACAGGGGTAAACATGAATAGGATATCATAGGAAACTAGTAGTGTTATTACTATAGACTGGAACATTACAGGATAGACATGCATTAGAAATAAGATGCCATAAGAAACTAGCAGTGTTATTATCATAGACTGGAACATTACAGCCATTAATCAATATGATAGTAAACTAGCAGTGTTATTACCCTATACTGGAACATTTCAGCCATTAATCAACATTACAATAAAGGTGTGGAACATTACAATTATTAAACAACATGACATGTTAATGAAGCTACGGTTTTTAAGACATTTTGTTTATAATGAATTGTTTGAGTTTTTTTATAAAATTGGGTTGTTTTGGGTGCTATTTAAGTTTTTTGTGTTGGGCTTCTTTTAAGTTGATCAATGGCAGTCACGTAATTTATAGGAACTTCAACACTAATTTCTTACGTAGTAAATGAGTTTTGGGTGTGTTTCTAAAGTGCATTTTATATGAGGTTTTTTTTTAAATAATTTCAGCCCTTATTTTGGGTATATTAATGAAACTCTCTTAACTTAAAGACTAATAGTCTCATGTTCGAACCCCCCATCATATCGTGGTAGAGTGTGTGAGAAACTCTCATCCCCTTATAGTTTAGACTATGTATGTACTCCGAACCCAAAAAAAAGATTTTCTCTTATCAGCAACTGCCGACATGGCAGCAGTTTAGTGGTGGAGGGTGGCCAAGTTGCGGAAGGAATGTAACAATTTTCACTATTCTTGGTTTGACAGGTGAAGGAATCCCACTGAAGAGAATGTAATTCTGTATTGGGTCAGAAAAGCTAGTCAGATTACAAATTGGTGAAAAAAGAAAGGCTTAGCCAAAAAAATAACCAAAGCAAAACAAAACAAAAGACACAACTTCGTCATTTTAACGTGCCAAATCAACTATGGTCTCTGCTCGAATCATGTTTTTGTTGCTTATTTTATATCAATGAACGACAACAACGAAAACATGTCCTACCACTCTGCCAATACCAAAGCACCTAACCTTCTCTCTCTCTCTCTCTCCCTCTCTGTGTGAAAACACCTGATGGGGCAACAGAGCTTGGCAGCTCCACTCTTGGACAGCCATGGGTCGACAACATCTAGAGCTCTTTGGCTCCTCCTTGCAATTGTAGCCATCATCTGTCAGTTCTTGTTTTCTCTCTCACTTTCTTATACCACAAGCTGTATTTATGATCTCTCTGTTCTGGGTTTTCACGAAGTTTTTTTTGGGGGTCTGCTTTTCACAATCTATTTGCTTCCAATTTTCTTTCAGCAGCTATATAAAATGCTTAAAGAACACACTTCTTTTTCTTGCTTGGTCAAAATGTGTGTGCCGGCTGCTATGCTTTTAGAGACAGTACCTAGCTGCTAGGGGCGATCTCAGTTCCATGGACTTACCCGAATTACCAATCTCACAACTGAACTTGAAGAGCAAAAAATTTCATAATCTAAATCAAATTTTCATACTTTTCCACTATCAGTTTACATATTATTTTCCCCTGAAGTTTTGCTTTGAATATAGTGCCTGCTTTCTATATCTGGAATGCCAAACCAAGATATTGACAATAAAAGTCAAATGGTTTTTAATTATTGACAATACTTTTGAAAGTTAAACGCTTTGGATTGGATGCTCACTGACCCTTTTTCTATTTTTCATTCATTTTCTAGTTGTAGGCTTTATATTTGGAGGGCACACAAATGAGAGGAATTTTAAAATCAATGATTCTGATATTGTTGAGTCAGAGAAGGGAGTTGTTGCAGCTGATGATGCCAGATGTTCTGAGGTTGGTGCTTCAATACTTAGACAGGGTGGGCATGCTGTTGATGCTGCAGTGGGAACAGCATTGTGCCTTGGCGTTGTTAATTCGATGGCAAGTGGGATTGGAGGTGGGGGTTTCATGCTTGTCCGATCTTCAGCAACCTCCCAAACCCAAGCTTTTGATTTGAGGGAGACTGCTCCTATAGCTGCTTCACAGGTTTCAAAATCCTCTCTTTCAGCTGAAATGCTAGTTTTGATTGAAACCCATGTGTCAGTGGCTCCAATCTATCAGAAGTGTTGGCGTCGAAGACGGACCAATCTTTTAGGTTGGACCCATTGAATGGAAGGGGTGACTAACAATTTGATCATTTTCCTTGATGAAGATTCATTCTAATTTTACTCTTTATGTTGTGTATAAACTGTTATTGTCATCAAACAGAATATGTACGAGACCAATCCCAAAGCCAAGTTAGTAGGTGCATTGTCAATGGGAGTTCCTGGTGAGATAGCTGGTCTCCATGAAGCTTGGTTGCAACATGGGCGTATGGCATGGAAGACTTTATTTCAACCTGCCATAAAACTAGCTAAAGATGGATATGTGATTGCTCCTTATCTTGGAGGATATATAAGTAGATTAGGAGATAAGATTCTAAGTGACCCTGGCTTAAGGCAAGTGTTTGCACCAAATGGGAAGTTGTTACAGACAGGTGATACATGCTACAATGTAGCACTTGGCCATAGCTTAGAGGCAGTGGCAGAACTTGGGCCACAAGCCTTCTATAATGGCAGTGTTGGTGAAAAACTAGTAAAGGATGTGACAGAGGCTGGTGGGATCTTGACAATGGAGGATCTAAGGAGTTACAAGGTGAGTGTTGTGGAACCAGTGGCTGCTAATGTGATGGGCTACAATGTATTTGGAATGCCACCTCCTTCAAGTGGAACATTGGGGCTTTCTTTGGTGGGTAATTTCTTTCCTATTTCTTCTTTACCATTTTGCTCTTCAGTAGATGTAAGGTGCAGAATCTTCCTTCCAAATTGGGTGATTGTGGCCATTTTGATGAATTGGTCTGCATTTTGGTAAAAACAGGTTCTGAACATCTTCGACAGCTATGGAACTTCGGACGCTTCAAAGGGAGATCTTGGTTTACATCGTCTGATTGAAGCATTGAAACACATGTTTGCAGTCCGAATGAACTTGGGGGACCCTGCTTTTGTTGATACAAGTAAATATGCATCTGATATGCTTTCCCCATCTTTTGCAAAGAAAATTCAGCAGAAGATATTTGACAACACAACCTTCCCTCCAGAGTATTATTTGCAAAGGCATGATCTGCTCTTTTGTAGTTCAAATTAGATCTTTCTCTACCTGCTGGATAAACTGCTAATATTACTGCCCAAGTCATTAGTCTGAAGTTATTTCATCCCATGATTAACCAGGTGGAGCCAGCTCAGAGATCATGGAACAAGTCATTTCTGTATAGTAGATGCAGATAGAAATGCCGTCTCAATGACAAGCACTGTAAACTATCCTTTTGGAGGCGGAGTGCTTTCTCCTTCTACTGGAATTCTGCTCAACAATGAGATGGATGACTTCTCAACTCCGACGGAGATATCCCCAGACCATCTCCCTCCTGCTCCGGCAAATTTTATTGAACCAAACAAGAGACCTTTATCCTCCATGACTCCACTTATTATAATGAAGGTACAGATAGTACTGCATCTGCATACTTTGTGTCTCAGTAAGATTAAAGTAGGCAATAAAAGGGAATGTTTTTGGTTTTTGCAGGACAATGAGTTGGCTGGAGTTATTGGCGGTAGTGGCGGTATGAACATAATTCCAGCAGTAACCCAGGTTTTTCTGAATTACTTTGTATTGGGGATGGATCCTTTAGCTGCAGTTCAAAGTCCAAGGATCTACCACAAGGTTGATAACTTGCTTCAATCATAGGCATGATATACTTTATGAACTCTCTGTCCGTTTAGTTGAAATTCTTGTTTAATTCCATGCAGCTGATACCAAATGTGGTCTCCTACGAGAACTTGACTGTGATAGACGGCGATCACATCGAGCTTTCGGACGAAAAACAGCTCTTCTTACAAGAGCGGGGACATCAGTTGGAGGCCAAGGCAGGGGGAGCCATCACTCAGCTCATTGTCCAAACCCTCCGAAAACCCGTTAACATGGGCCGAAAAAGTGGACAAAATTCTAATGAACAAACATTTCAAGGTACACTCACTGCTGTGAGCGATCCTAGAAAGGATGGGAAGCCTGCAGCTGTATGATTGCAAGTTGTCTGTAGATTAAAAAGGAGAGGCCTTGGTGGAATATAGTGAGTCTTATGTGCAGATATGTTCGTAAATAGAAATACACATCAATTGGGAATGGTATTGTTGGGTAACTTAGGCTGTGTTTACTAAGAGATAATATTAATAAGATCAAAGTGTTGCACTTTTTCAGCAAAAGGGTATTTTTCCTCATATTATATATATGTTATTCAAAAAAATAAACCGAAATTTTGATAACAATGAAAGAGTACGGTATTTATCCTCTTTGCAGTTATTGTACAACCGGCAACACAAATACATGCAAACTCAATACAACCCAACCCAAACCCTTAGCAAACTATCATCTAATGTGGCGTTTTCTCAAGACATTTTATCCATCAGTTGTATTGGCGCCAGAATGCTAGACTTGCTTGTCTCGACAATACATCCATTCATGACCATTTCTTCCAGCATGAAATGCGCCTTCTCCAAATGGAACATGATGTCTAGTTCACACTGCAAATTCAATTGAAGAGAAACAAAATAATTTCTTGTGGACCAGTAAAAAGAAGAAAATGGCTGGTTAAATCAAGTCAGAAGCAAAAAGGAATACGTGCACTATTTTGGGAAGAGGAGTTTACCACATTGCCAAAATGGCGGTCCATGGTTTCAACTAACAGATGTATGAATTCCAAAATTGCAAGCTCATTCTGCAATGCAAATGACAAGAAGAGGGAAACAGATATTAAGAAAGACGGAATTGGAGGCAACAAGAGAACAAGTTTGTCGTGAGTAACTTACTTCATCATTATCAACTCCAACCAGGAAAAACAACGAAGCATAGCGCCTGTACACAATTTTGTAGTTTCGGTGCTCAACAAATGAACACTGTTCCATGTACAATACATATCAGCAATATAAACATGTATAACTGCTGTCACATAAATATATACTAACTTCAGTTTACCGAACAGAGAAAAAAAAAAAAAGGATCAAGTTTTATATATTTATGCTGCTCAACTATAAATCTTTATGGAAAAGAGCCCAGCTAAATGCCATAGATATGCAAGCAAAGAAATAACCAGTGCTAAACATGACCGGCATCATAAAGAAACGCTGCCCTTAGTATGCAGCAGTCAACAAAATGAGTAACCATCCTACAAACCAATGCAACCTGCTAATAGGACCTCTTTCGAGGCAGGAAGACAAGTAGTGAACTCCTACAA